GTTGTTGTCATTGTCGTCGTTGTTGTGTTGTCGTCATTATTGTTGTTGTCGACATTGTTGTTGTCGTTTTTGTCGTCGTTGTCGTCGTCGTTGTTGTTGTTGTGTTGTCGTTGTTGTTGCCGTTGTTCCAGCCTTGAATAATTTGTTTTCAGTGTTTGTCGTGAATGAAAGATTCTCATCACTTGTTTTTATTTGATGTAATTAAAATGGATTCAGAGATCAGAGATCAGAGATCAGAGATCAGAGATGATTGTAAATCTCTCTGGATGAAACGCTCTTCACAGCACCACATGGGGAAAAGATGGTGCAGCTCTGAGACTGTTTCTGTGACCACATGGGGGAAAGATGGTGCAGCTCTGAGACTGTTTCTGTGACCACATGGGGAAAAGATGGTGCAGCTCTGAGACTGTTTCTGTGAACACATGGGAAAAGATGGTGCAGCTCTGAGACTGTTTCTGTGACCACATGGGGAAAAGATGGTGCAGCTCTGAGACTGTTTCTGTGACCACATGGGGGAAAGATGGTGCAGCTCTGAGACTGTTTCTGTGACCACATGGGGAAAAGATGGTGCCAGCTCTGAGACTGTTTCTGATATTTCTCCTCTCAGCTCTTCTGGTGGGGTTTGTGTTGACGATGGCAAACTTCAGCTTCTTCTCCTCGCTGTTGGCCTTCTTCATCACCTCCTCCAGACTCACCCGCTGGGGAGGAGTGCAGAAGAAGAAGATAGACGCTGACTACAAAGAAGGTGACGAGTAGGGAAAGTGTTGTTTGTCTTTAAATCTACGTGAATCTTTACATGAACTAAAGTGTGTGTTTGTGTGAAGGTGGTCAGAGGAACTGGGTTCAGGTGTTCTGTAACGGAGGAGTTCCTGCAGAGCTGGCACTGCTTTACATGATCGAGGTAAAAACACACACAGGTCACGTGATTATCTTTGTGTTTCACATGTCAAGAAGAATGTTCAAAGTTCTGTTATTGGCATGTCTGTGTTTCCAGGTGGGTTCAGGTGAGATGCCCATAGACTTCAGCAAACAGTACTCGGCCTCCTGGATGTGTCTGTCTCTGCTGGGAGCGCTTGCATGCAGCACTGGGGACACCTGGGCGTCCGAGGTGGGGCCTGTTCTCAGCCAATCACAGCCCAGACTCATCACTACCTGGCAAGGAGTCCCAGCAGGTAAGACGCAAAACCTTTCCCTCCTTATTCCTCCTCCATCTTCCAGCTGGTGATGTGGATCTAAGTTTTAGATGACAGTGACACAGACGTTAACATGTAGTGTTTTTGATCGACGCGTTGACAGAGCAGCTTTACTCTCATACTTGTAATAGGTCGAGAAACCTTTACCGTAATACTTTTAACTTGTGATTTATCAGGTGAGCATTTTGAGCTGCTGATGATCTCAGGTGTACAGCTTCACAGTTTGAGACGTTACTAAAATGTTTCAATAAAAGTCTTGAAGACATCTGATAGCACAGAGACGCACCAACCTCGTCGTCCTGTTTGATAAAGAAGGCTTACAAACACACACCGTGAGAACACCTCAGAAGAGGAAATGATTGAAGTTCATGTTCTGTACGTTAACCCCGATCTTCAAACATATCGTAGAACACACTTTGTTGTTATTAGGAGGTGATGGAGTGTAGTGATGTTGAAAACCTCTGGTTCTCTGACTCGGCCTTCGATGAGTTTAGTTTACAGAGAATCTACAGATGATGTACATAAACAGACGCTGTGTGTGTGTGTGTGTGTGTGTGTGTGTGTGTGTGTGTGTGTGTGTGTTGTGTGTGTGTGTGTGTGTGTGTGTGTGTGTGTGTGTGTGTGTGTGTGTGTGTGTCTGTGTTTGTCTGTGTGTGTGTGTGTGTTTGTCTGTGTGTGTGTGTGTGTGTGTGTGTGTGTGTGTGTGTGTGTCTGTGTGTGTGTGTGTGTGTGTGTCTGTGTGTGTGTGTGTGTGTGTGTCTGTGTGTGTGTCTGTGTGTGTGTGTGTGTGTGTGTCAGTGTGTGTGTCTGTGTGTGTGTGTTGTGTGTGTGTGTGTGTGTGTGTCTGTGTTTGTCTGTGTGTGTGTGTGTGTGTGTGTGTGTGTGTGTGTGTGTGTGGGTGTGTGTGTGTCTGTGTGTGTGTGTGTGTGTGTGTGTGTGTGTGTGTGTGTGTGTGTTGTGTGTGTGTTTGTGTGTGTCTGTGTGTGTGTGTGTGTGTGTGTCTGTGTGTGTGTGTGTTGTGTGTGTGTGTGTGTGTGTGTGTGTGTGTGTGTCTGTGTGTGTGTGTGTGTGTGTGTGTCAGTGTGTCTGTGTGTGTGTGTGTGTGTGTGTGTGTGTGTGTGTGTGTGTGTGTGTGTGTGTGTGTCTGTGTTTGCGAGCACGAAATCATCGATGAATCAGAACAAATGAGGTTTCTCTCCGTTAAAGGTCACTCTTCTAGGAAGCTGAAATGTGATTAGTTGCGTTTGTTGTCCTCGCTGCTCGGACGTATAAAGCAGCGTTTGTTTATAGCGTTTGTTTATTTTGAGGGCCTCACTTTCTGTCTGTCTTTCTGCTCCTTCAGGAACAAACGGAGGAGTTACTCCCGTCGGGTTGGCCGCCAGCTTCCTCGGTGGTGTCGCTGTGGGTGCGGCGTACTTTTTGACACAGCTTTTGTTTGTCAGCGACCTGCACCTGGCCGACCCCCAGTGGCCAATCATGGTATACGGAGGCTTGGCTGGTCTGCTTGGGTCCATGCTGGACTCTTTCCTGGGAGCTCACATGCAGTATTCAGGTAGGAACGAGTCTCTGACAGAGGTTTCCCTTACAGGAAGTCTTTATATCTCTCCAATCGAACAGTTTCAAACTGTCGTATTGAACAGTCAGGTTAACCCTCTTATGAAGCTCAGCCACATTTAGCTGCTGGTTTATTTTATGTGACTTTGGTTCCAGCGGCTCACTAACTCATTCTGATGTTATTTGAATTTCCTTTCTTATGTTTAACCTTCTTGTTTCAGCTGCACTTTAATAAATCCTCCCTGTAGTTGTTAATCTGCAATAATAACACTGAAACACTCAGGTGCTACATACTACATACACTCAGGTTTTCAATAAATAAAAATGTTACATTAAAGAAATAAACATGTTAATTAAAAGAAAAACATGAAATGAGTATGACCTGTTCTTTATACAGTTCCTATAATGAAAAACTTTGTTTATAATTTGAAACAGTCTTATTATGAGTTAACAATTATTCATGAACATTATATATGCATTGCTCCTGCTGCTTTGGTGGTGGTGTATAAATGGATTAGTGTTGTACTTACTCTCTGATGTACGTCGCTTTGGATTAAAGCGTCTGCTAAGTGAATTGTAACATTGTTTCTGTCTTCAGGCTTTGACTCCAGCATCGGGAAGGTCGTTGGTTACCAGTCCGCCACGACTCGGCGGATCTGCGGGAAACCGATCTTAGACAACAACGCGGTCAACCTGTTCTCCTCGGTCCTCATCGCGCTCATCCTGCCTGGGCTGGCGTGGGGGATGTGGCCAAGATAAACTCTCAAACAAAACCCTTCAGTAATCTGTCGACAAAGAAACGTCATAGTAAACATGATTATTAGCACATTAAAAAGTTTCTATCAAAGAAAAACTCTTTCACCTGTCTTTGTCCTAAAACTGACTGAACTCAGATTTATTAAAAATCATCTTCATGTGGACAGGCTAACTATCATAACAAACATCTACGGACAGGCTGAAATCAATCATTATATAATATCCACAGCTGAGGATTTGATGCTGGTAGTGGGAGAATTTGATTTCTAACCCTTTTGATACAAACAGTACACTCTTGTTCACTATGACACATGTAAGTCCTGAAATGTTCAACATGGTCAGGAAGGCTGTGAAAGTGAATTGACATGAATAATGAATAGAATTGATCAAATCTACTTCTTCTAATCTTGAGAAAAATAACCTCATCAACACTTGTTATATGGTTCCTGAAACCTAACCTGCACCAGGGAAGAATATTTTCTAAAGAAAAGATGATTTGGATTATAATTATTGCCTAATAAAGTAATCTGCAAAGAGAGGTCCTGATTCTGGAGGATCATTCAGAGACACTCTGATGTGTCTTTTTCTACATGAGAAACATTCATGGTTTTTGTATTGTAAGTTCTGTCATCTCCAAAAGTCTCCACATGTTGGACTTGTGTGTTTACAGTCCTGCAGACTGTATAATCTGTAAAAGCTGTTTCTGATCACGTCTGTGGACCCATCTGGTTTACCAGCAGTGACTGATTGAACACTTATTTTTGCCATAAAAAGATACTTGTACTCTGATTATTGGCTCATAGTTTGGACATATGGTATCAAAAGATATTCCAGAAATGATCAGAGGAACACAAAAAGAAGAAGACTTAATTTCACTTCACATCATTCAAACCACTTCAAAGTTTCTTTAAATGTTTAATTGTTTCTGTCAGCCGGTATGGTAGATCATGTTTAACTTCTACATATTCATGTGTTGTTATATTTTTCTCTGCTGACTCTGACCCTGAATGACATCCGGACATGTCCTGTGAAAAACAGATGTTTATTAACCCTTTAAAGGTTTAGCTCTGTGATATTCTCTGAAGTGTAAACAAAGTGCTCAGGGTTAGCTGTGAAGATAAAATAGAATATTAAGGAAGGAAGGTTTAAGTTTGCTATGTATTTAGGTTTATCTGTGTTGGTTTAATGTGAGGGTTGGTAACCTTAACCTACCCCCCCTTCATTGATTCATTATGTCGCTGTACCCTGATGATTCATTCTCTGTATTTAACCCAACACCCCCCCAGCCTTTGAGTGAATAAACTGGTCATGTGTTGAAATTGAATGTTTGTTGGGTTTGTATTAACCAAACTTTATTTATGTCTTATATTCATTCAACATAGGAAGGGGGTAATAACCCAATGTGCTACCCCCTAGCACGTTGAAAATTTGTAATAACTGTTGATAGGAAGGTGGTACAGACTTGTAAGCAAGATGCTACCCCCCGTTTTGGGGCAT